TAAGGTCAAACTGCACACAGCTACGCTGACCTGGTCCTCTCTCCTCAAACACCTGAGTTCTGCTTAAATAGTCCACTTAACCAAACGATTTCTCCTCTGGACTATTCCATTCAGTAGGTAAGATGAACATAATTATATTCAAACTTCTACTACTACTCTTTACTAGCAACATAAACTCTATGGTGTAATCAATACATATTACAACAATAAGTCTATTTCTCCATAAACACTCTAAAATCAACTTTATGAAATTACAAGAATTCTTCCCCTTCTGCACTTGGTCTCATCCTGTGACCTCAGATGAACCCAGAAGCTATAAAGCAGGAAGTAAAACTACATTTCCTCCTTTTGTTTCGGGAAGACAGGTAGGTAAGTTTAAACAATACAAATTAACAGTTGAAATAAATAACAGGTTAACTTAACAAACTCGTAGGAATTGATTTAAACCAAGATGTTATATTATATAATCTGTAAAAGTGCAAAACATAAATAAACCCGGGATAGTAGATGTTTGGCTTTTGCAGATTACATGTGAAATATGGTTAAATCAAAACAAGAATGTTAACTAAGAATATGGACAAATGGTGTTCTCACCCACTTTGTCACAGTCAGCCGAATTTGATAGGGTGCAGCGGGAAAAGGTGAGTCCAGATTTTTCCTGTTCCAGTCTAGCTTCAGCAACAATATATGCTCAAAAAGTAAGTTGGCTGACTCTGAATACCGATTCTACAGGTGTGTCCATCAGTGGATTTTTGCTCTCCTGATGGCTTCTTCGTGATCCAAGATGACAATAGCTGAATTCATTGGTCTCAAATTGCGAAAGAGTGCTTTAGGAGCATGAATCATCATGGTCTGGCCACCACAGTATCCAGATCTTAATCCCATTAAAAATCTTTGGGATGTACTGGAGAAGACTTTACTCAGTGGTACGACTCTCCCATTATCAAGACAAGATCTTGAAGCAAAATTAGCGCAGCTCTGTACAGACATGAATGTGACACAGCATTCATTTTTAAAAACAATGCCACGTTGAATGTCTGCCATCAAAGGCATCGAACCATAGATGGTCCAGCAAAATATTGGAATGTGTGACCCTGCTTAGCTTCCGAGATCAGACGAGGTCAGGCGTGCTCAGGGTGGTACGGCCGTAAGCTTCTCTCTCCTCAGCTCTTTCTGGGACAGTGGCACGGCTGCCCCTCTGTTGGTCTTCCTTGGTCTCTTGTGTTCTGGGGGCCTCTGGATGTCTGGAGTTTTGATCTCCTCCATACCTGCTTCATGCCCTGGAGGACGGGGCAGTGGCCCCCCACACCCTCTAGCAGATCATTACATGAAGGAACCTTTTAAGAAAACAACGCGTCCATGCTCACAGGTGTACACACGGGTGATCACACACACAAACTACACCCTTTTTGGCTCCTACCTCAAAGCACACTGTGCTGTCGATCTTACGTGCTGCACAATAATGTTTAATATTTAGTATTTACTGTCATATTCCCATATATCATTGTGATGTTGTTTATTGTATTACTCTCGTTTTCTTCTGCTTGTTTTCTTTTTTCTTTCTCAACAGGTGATCCAGGTGATCGATATATGTATTTTTTTTTTCTGCTTATTCTGTTGGTTTTTGTTTTTTGCCCTTCTCCCCCGTCCCTCTTCTCAACTGTTTTTCTTTCCCTCTTTCTTTCTCCCTTTTCTTTCCCCCAGTCAAGTCTGTCCCGTATTCAGCAAGTGAAAATAAAATAAAGAATAAAAGGTGAATCAAATGGACCATTACGGCAAAGCTGGGATGGTCAATTTGGTAAAGAAAATCCGTTGGGCATCTTTCTTCGCCTTTAGACAATAATTCTGATGGCAAAAGAGCCAAACGGGACAGGCGCAAAAAAAAAAGGAATGTGTGACCCTTTTTTGGCCTGCCAGTATAAATAAGATCTATAAAATATACACTACAAATGCTAAACAAGCTATAAGATATTAATGCATAATTCCAAGGAGGTCAAAGGTTACACGGTGCAGTGCCCTGCAGTGAGGACAATAAGCAGTAACTGTTATTGTTCTCTGAAATCTTGTTTTTGATGCATCTTAGCTTCTAACTGCAGACACCTAGTAAAATTTGCTAGAACCTCATATATTCCAAATATTTCATAACAATTTGTGGGGTGCACTCTAAAATGCAACCTTTTAAAAGATGTGTCAGTGGTAAAAACTGAAAGCATTTGCATTAAGTGATGTAATGTATATTTTACATAATGAACTCCCAATCACATGTTATTGTTTCAAGGTATTTTAGTACTACAAAGCTGGTCTCTAATTTATTTATTTATTTTTTTCCATAACCATAATCCCATAATACTCTATATAATCCCTGTCTGTCTGCTAGTAGTGAGTGGTAAATGTGTTATCCAGCTAATCTGTCGTCAATAAGCCTTTGTTTATGTTAACTCTTCTGCTGTCTGGGATCCTGAACCCTCCACCTCTACAAGCAAGTAAAGGGCACTGCAGCTGTAAGGGTTACATGTCCTGTTTGCCTCCAATGTGTCAGCTTTATATTACACAAAAGATTTGCACAGGGAAAAAAAAGAAAATTAATGCTTTGTGTGTATGGGAGGTTGATTTCCTTTTAGTTGATTGTTATAGTTTACTTACACTGCTGTTTATTCATAAAAAGTTTGCTTTCTTTACTGGGTCTTTCAGCCACAATGGAGTTAATGAATTTATTATAAATCCATCATTTTCAGTGATTTTCTGATGTGTTTCTTGAGGTTTTTTGATCTCACACTTCATTTGTCTGTTCGTGTCCCGTGAAAGCTATCATGCTGTGCCAATCACACAAGGAAATCTGTTATTTTTACCTGCTGAGACTCAGATTTGATCTTGTCATCATCAAATAGGTAAAAAAATACAATTTAAAAAAAATGCACTTAATGAATAAAAAATCCATTAGAGCAAGACATAACAGCGTAAAATATTAAATTTAGATTTCATTTGAAAGCCTGGCAACTGTAACTTGTTATCTATCTTTGGTACTGACTACTTCAAGTTGGCTACAGTTCAGTACAACAGACTGTCTGCATATTAGAAACTTGCTGTCCTTTTTACCTTTAATTTGTGGCTGCACTGTCCAGTCTGTCCTGGTGTGCTTTTGCTCAATGAAGACAAATACTGACATTAGTCAATACGGACAGGAAATCAGCCAAAACCACAGTAACAATTAAAAAACCCATTCATATGAAGCCTTCAATTATTTATATGATGATAGTAATGACACACGTTGGGCAGGAAATCTAAAGGGTTAGAGCAGGAGTGGGCAATATATTTCCCCATGGGGCCACATGACAACCTGTGGCCCCTGGTGGGTGGGCACAGGTTGTCATGTTGTGGAAAGCCGCACTAATAAGCTGAACTCAATTCTGCTCAATACTAATTTGGTCTCTTTCTAAGCTTATGGATCCGGACTTCCACATTAGAGGTTAGAGAGTAGGAAACGACCTCAAGAAGGTGACACGCAATCTCTGAAGGTGAGCATTTTCCCCACTTATTATTAACCGCGGATGTTGCCTAACGGTAGCCACTTAGTGTCGGGACTCACTCTAATGTGAGTCCTTCCTGGTAGAGGCGAAACATTCAGAATGATTGCCGCTTTTGTTGGTGTCGTTGAGAGGCAGCTTGTTTGTGCGTACAAAAAGTACCATTTTTATTCTAAAGGTCAAGTCACTTTTATTTACATAGCACATTTAAAACAGCAGAAGGTGACCCAAAGATGCTTTGGAATTCCTGGTGTCCAAACCCCCAAAAGATAAATGGTGTTCTTTTGTGTTTACTCAGGTTTACCTCTGTTATTTATAACATGTATTCGCTTGGAGCTCAAGGTGCTTTATTATGCACTAAAAACAAACAAACAAAAACCTTTTAATTAATACATTTTTTTAAAAGTTTAACAGCTAGTCAAGAATTGCCTGAACTAATGACTACCGACTGAGAAGGCTTTTGTTCAGGAGTCATGCTACTTATTATTGCAATACAACACTCACAATAAAAAAAAATATTCTAAAAAGATTTTAGAAAAGATTGTTATGCACTTAATGTTCCTCAAAACACCTTTTTTATTTTATAGCAATATCTATATATTTTCATAGGAAAAAAAACGAGATTTCATATTACACATCCGTGGCCCTTATTGTTATAGTTATTGAAATGCAAACTGTCTAATGCAGTTCTGAATTTGTAGACATGCACTACAGGGGCACAATATCAAATAGTAATTATAGAGTCATATATATATGTTTGTTATATACAATAACAAAGCACACACATGAATCACACACGTTGGATATAAGAAAATATAATATTAACGAAAACTTTATCATAGTTATTAATCAGCTATCAGGATATTTATTGTTAAAATACTCTGTAACAATTGAAAGTTCCCCAGTGACGACCTTGTACATCGTTAAATTGTATCAGTATTTACCAGCGTGACTACTGATATGCAGCATTCAATTATGGGTCTCTAAATAAAACTTTTGAATTTCAAATACGTTAATAAATGCCCAAATCTGCTCCTGACTGTTTACAGTGTTATAAACTTTTAATACATTTTTTTGTGCTTACATATTTGTCATATTTGTTGAAGGACTTTTAAACGACATCACAGAAGTTTTTCTTAATGTAACAGTGATGGCTACTCTACATTTATTCAAAGTTCTAGTGTGTAAAATGACAAAATATTATGCACATTATCGTGGATCCTCTAAGTGAATGACATGTAACTCAGGTCTGCAGATTTTGTTTAAAGAAATTTAAAAAATTTCTACACAGACACTACTGCGGTGAAACCAACTAATGCTAAACTACACGTAACTTTTTACCTGATACATCAACTTGTTGATATGGTAACTTGAGGCTAAAACATCGTTGCCCGCACCTCAAATACATGCTTTTGCTAAATGTATTTGCATTTTGGTTTAAATCATTCTTTTTTTATGTTAAATAAATAAACTTACCAAGACCAACATTGTTCCCGTGTTTAGTCCTCACACACTGGACAATGTGAGAGTTTCTTCTTCCTCCACTAAAATGTTTGATTCCTCCGTCTTCAGTTTTACTCCTTAACCTCCCATAGAGAAAAAACATGGAATCCGGCTGGATTTGCGATGGCATGGATGAGCTGTGCATGTATAACATGCAGCAAAAAAGTCTGACATCCAGAAGGGAGAGAGCGAGGAAGGAAGCAAAATTACAAAATTTCAGAGCACATCTGAAAAGAGAGAGACTATGTATCAGGATGAGGAAATAGAGGGTTGGAAAATCTAACAGAAAGGAAAAAAGAAAATAAAAGTGTTAAAAAAATTCAGAAAGAGAGGCTAGACATTGACGGTGCGTTCGCCAGATAGAAAGATGCGTGGGCAGGAGTGTGTGTGTGCGTGCATGTTTGACCTCGCCTTCACAGCCAACTTAAGCTTCCTTACTAAAGGTAAGCGGGGTCAGTGGCGTCCATGTCGACTCACATGACCAGTGACACCGACTGTAATCCCATAATCCCCTGCTCTACCGCTGCTGCTCTTGGCTGAACAAACACCCGAGCTGTGGAGGATCACACCTGTCCTCCGTCTTTTCGTCCTCCCTCTTCATCATTCCTATCTTCTCCTCTTCCTCTTCCCCTCAGTCACCTTTCGTCCTCTAACCTACCCTAAACACAATTTGTTTTCTTTAACTTCCTTTTAACTTCCCCTCTCCTCCTTTAGCCATCCCTCTGCTCCAGCTCGCTACCTCCCACCAAAATCCCTCTCTCCCTAATCTTGATTCTTCCACGTTTGACTCTGTTGTTCTATGCTTACCTCTGTTGATCCCTGTTTATCTAGGGTTCACAGGGAGACACCAGCTTTGTCTGGCTTGGTGTGATGCAGGAATAAACTACTGTATCCTCTTTCTCTATGTTTCTTCCTGTGCTCACGTGTGAAACGATGAAGTACCCAAGGTGGGCAGGTATGTACAGACCCTGTCAACAACATTAATCCTCGACTGATAGTAGCAGCGTGATTATATGAACACATATGAAAAGCCACTTTTAATCTAACTTGGGATAAATCATGCATCAGTGGACTGGCCCGTCTTGTATTTGAGGCTGATTACACTTACATGAAAAAAATGTGCATTTATATCCTCCAATTTTCCACATTCGTTCCTTTGTTTAGTCCTCTCTCCATCATCTTTTTCTTCATTGTCTTTGTCTTTTTTCTTTTTCCATTTTATCGCTTATATGTTTCTATCCCAACCCTTTATTTAGGCGCCATACCTTTCACATTCCATCTCTCTCTTTTTAGCTCCCTGCCATTTTTTTCCATTAGGGCTGTCACTGCACATAATAGCTAATAACCTGGTCAAAGAATACCACCTGTTCTCTCGTACTCCTTCTGTAAATTGTGCTTTCTTCTTGCTGTTAGTCTATAGATTTGTGTAGTCCCAGGCTCTGTTTCTTTTCATGCTGCACGAAGCGTTCTTAGAATATTTGAAACTTCCTTTTGCAATTCTTTTAGTTGCTTTCATTTCATCCTGCCCTGCTCCTAATTTACCTCTCTTTGTTTATTTGTATAGGATAGGAATTGGTAGCCCTTAAATATTAGGTCTTAGTTCGGCTGGGTAAGCCAATATGGATAATTCAACTATAAAATTATTGGATTAGTAGGGAATTCTTCAACCGTTTAAATGTTTTTTAGTTGTTATTATTGTATAATTCATACAATTTAAATGCAACCCCACTTATGATGAACACATTCTAAACATATCAATAATTTACCACTGAGTTACAACTCTGAAAATACCATATATCGAATAATCTTTTATGTATGAGCGTTCATTCTGCATCTTGATTGTGAAGGCGTACTTTTGTGGAGTTCAGTGCATTGCTTACAGTATCTGATACATAGCTGCTCCTACATCTTATAACCTCTTTTGGTAATTCCCACTGAGGCCTTCTGCACTAAAAATTCCCGCATCGCGCTGTGGGGAGCTAAGGATAAAAGCATCCACCACATGCCATGCTGTGTATCTTTATCTCAGTATCTGCGCTGTATCTGTGTCACGTGCTTCTGACTTTCTCAGTTCTCCGGTTGTTGTATCTCTTCTGCATGCTTCTGAGGTTTTGTTCCATTCCAGTCCTGATAGATCACATAAATCTCTGTGTTCATAGGGATGCTGTTGTCAATGCTATTTTTTTATTAATAACCTGAACAAAACACTTTAAAAGTTACACATACATACTCACATCTATACTTTTTTGCATTTAAAAATAAAATTAGAACACATGAGGTAATGACCCCAAAGCTAAATGCATGCTGGGAAATGGTAGCTATCACAGCAGCATGTCAGCTACCGAATATTTGTGCTATATTCATCATACCTTTCGTGAATTTCAGTAGCTTGCCTCTTTTTGGACACACTACTTAGCTCGAAAGAAGTCACTTCCTCATTTGAGAAGAAATAATAAATTAATGTTAAAAATACACCTGAAAAACTGAAGATTTTTTAAATATATTTTAAAACATAAACTTGTGCTCCTCAGACTTTCACTGTGTAACAGAGAACCAGTGGCCTGAGGGTCATTTTTACCTGCTGATTCAAATGGATCATCTTCTTTCGCTGCAGGGTGTGTGCCAAAGGCGCAAACTGCATTCGCACAATCTCTATCTCGGCAAGACATGCAGCATCTCCTTACTTCTCCACCAATAGTATTTTAATTTTATGGTAAAATTCACTGTCAGACAAAAATGAAAAGAGAAACACTGCTTAAAGCTGAAAAACGTGACAGTCAGGGACCACACCAGTGAACATATCAGAAAAATAAAATAGCAATACTACATACTTACCCTGTTTACATTGTTGCAGCTTTTCATAATCCTTCAATATAAAGATAATTATTTGAATCACCTGGATGAGAAAACTTAGGCTAATTGTTTTGTGTATGTCATTCTTTTCATGCGCTGATAATATTAAGCTTTTACTTAAGTACCCATAGCCTTAGTGTAAGTTGAAAAATCAGTATTCAGACCAACTTGTTGGTTAGTCGCACTTTTTTGTTAATTTCAGTCTATGAACAAATAAGTACAGTAGTTTGGTACTCGTTGAATCAACATACCAGTACTGATACAGGAAGTGGGAAGTATTTAAATAATAATAATAAATAAATTTTTATTTATATAGCACCTGTCAAGACAGAATTACAAAGTGCTGCACATAAGATTACAAGTCATAAAAAGATTTAAAAAGAGAAAATAAAACAGGCAAAAAAAATTAACCAAAAGCAGTTTTAAAAAGGTGAGTTTTGAGTTGTTTTTTAGGTCAAGACCAGGATCTTAAAATTGACTCTAAATTTAACAGGAAGCCAGTGTCACTGACTCATTTTCTGTGTAGTGAATTCTGAGTATGGTTTGTGTGACAGAGTGATGTGGGAGCCTTGAATATTGTTTTAGTCTGCAGCTGCATGAACAAATAAGTGGCGATTGTTTCAAAGCCAGTCTTCAGTGCTCTGCAGGGGGACATTAAAATGAAAAGTGACCTTACCTCCAATCAAAAGGCTAACCAAAAATATGATTCTTTATACGAGAGCCTAAGAGTAAATTAATTGCTGTTTTCGTTGTACCACCCTGCACTGATTTGGAAATATTCATATTTGAGAATCAGGGGTGGCCAACTTGAGCAAAATTAGCACTTAATTTTAACTCTTCAAAAATCACTCTTTGTGTTTTTTAGGAAATTGATTCATAGGTTGAATGGGAAGGTGGGGGAATCATGTGATCCTCAGTTTAGCTTCTTGAGTTCAGTATGTGGGGTTTTTTGTCAAAAAATGTTGGTAATTAAATTTGTGACTGATCATAAATAAATTCCAAAACTTTATGAGCTACATTTAATAAATAACAACTTTATATTTAATGAAACTTTATTCCTCATTAATAATGTTTAAAAATCATTAATTATAGTTTATATCTACTTATCTATTCATTATATTTTGCATGCTGTCATAGTTGATGAGTTCCGTTATTGATCAGTGAGCCCATCCTCGTTCGGTGGCTGTCAAAGCTACTAATGTCCCTCAGGTACACATTAAGTATTCTTAAAACCACATATACCTATAGCTGAATTAGTTACATATGAAGTGTTTTGATAAAGCTCGCATGTATTTGACGTAAAACAGTGATCCAACTGTGATGAACATGTGGGGGGAAATAAGGAAACTTTAGCAGCAACCTACATAGGTGCAGCTCTACTTATTTGATACTGCGTGTGCGGACGTTAAACTGTAGGTGTGAATTTATATGTACAGTATGCATGCCTGCGGCCATAACACATCTGTGGGTTTTTTAAATAAAGTTTTTAGACTCTATTATATTATGCCAGTGCTTCTTTTGATTCCTTTCATTGCTCGTCTGGTTTCATGTATATCGCACGTAGACGTGTTTATACGTACAGCGTGTTGTACTATGTATTATGCTGCCGTGACGAGTTCTTCAGCCCTCTCTAAAGTGAAGCAGATGGAGCATTCGGAGGACACAGCTTATGTGCAGTTCACCAGCAATACCTTAAGGTTAAACCAGTGTTTCTCAAACTGCTGAGCACACTGGGGTTAAATTGGGATTTGACAGCTGGAAGAACCCTAAGATCCCAAGCTCAACGGCTGTCAGAAGCAGTGGATACGATTCTTGTCAATGCAAAGATTTTTAAAAATGATATATAATAATATAAAAACACTTTGTGTCTTTCTGTGGTATTTGAACATCTCCAGGATGCAGACGCTAGCCCGAATTCTAATTTGCACAGTGGGAGTCATTGATAAAACACTTATGTCATTAAGCGTCTGCCCATATAACAGAGAGGGATGCTGGGTTGGATCCTGTAAAGACATGTTGAATCATGGGATGGAAATTGTGTTAGAAGGGTTTTATGCAAGCAATAACATCTGAAAAACGAAGCCCAGAACAGGAATGGAGCAGAAATAAACACATTTACAGCCGAGTGCAAAAAAAATAATTTTTGTTTCTGG